TGATTAGCTGTTCCTGACTCTGCCTTTTAATTCCTAATAAACTTATCAGAGTGATATTATACTTATAAGTGTTAGTTTTGAGTGGAAATGTGTCCTGGCAATCAGGGGCCAAGGAATACCATAAAGTCACACCACATAACAAACCTCATACAAGAGATTTACTAAGAGGGAATTCTGCAGTTTTCTGAGTGCTGTGTTACAGTAATTCATCATGACACCTGCATTTTAGTATACATTTTAAAAGATGTTTGCTTCAAAGCAACTATTAACAAATATCTCTAAAATCTTAAATATATTAATTTTTAGTTAATAAAAAATATTGTTTCATTGTGCTACTTCACATATCATCTGTATATGACTGTACTTTGTTAATATTTATCTTCCCATTGCCTTTTCTTGTCACCATTATGAACTTATCCTTTATGACTGGGTCAGATTGTCTTCTAGTTATGACAAGACCATTACTTATTCATATATGGTTAGATCTTGGAACACTGCCTACTAGTACAAGCTCCAGTGATGGGATGCTCTTTTCATATATATTTATATGTAACACAGTTTATTATATACAAGTTATAAACACATATTTAATTTTATATGTAAACTGTTGCTTATAGATAGCATTAGTATTTTATTTTACTTATTACATTTTAATTTATTTTATTTTATGCACATATATTGTGTATATATTTGGATAGTGTATGCCTTGACACATATGTGGTGGTTAGAGGACAACTTGCAGGAAATTATCTCTCGTTCCACCATGTAGGTTTGTTAAGCTTGGTGGAAGACATCTTTACACACTGAGCCATCTCTCTGGCTCCTATAAAAGATACTTGAAAGTTTTTGTCTGTCATCTTTTGCCACTAAGTGAAATCTCCAGTGTCAGGAATGGGTTATATCTAGTTTAGTCGTTGGTCAAAGGGGACCCATGGAAACCTCAAAATGTCACAAGGCTCTCCAAAAAATGATGGTAAGGGCCTGTTGCTGAAGACAACATTCACGTATCCCATTGAACATGGAGAGGTTGAGATGGAGCTTTCCCCACTACATCATACTGGAAGGTACTCTGCATGTTACCAGAGGAGAAAGGTAACAACCAACCTGGCAGCAAACCCTGTGATCTACAATGATGATCTGCCTACTTGACATGCTGGTATAACCACTCTCTGATTATATTTAAGGTTCATCACAAGATAGAACCCATGCCTGACACTGCTTGGATGGGCAATAACCTAAGACTAGGTAGGCCCAGACCAAATACTATTGATCTGCTAAAGGAACATAACAATCAAATGTCTCCTAATGGCATTCTACTGTACCCTTAGATTAGCACCTCACTCACCATCAGAGCAGCTTCCTCTTGCAGCACATGGGAACTAAACAGAGACACAATGTGCCGAGAGTGAGGGATTTGGGAACACTCAGCTCTAGGTGGGCTGTCATCATATTTCTCCCTTCAGGACTCAGGGAGCTATGTGGAAGAGAATGCAGAGACTGTAAGGGCCAGAGGGCATGGATGACACTAAGGAAACTGTTTTCCAGACACAACAGGACTGAGGGACGTACGAATTCCAGACCATGGCAACGTGCATGGGGCCTGCACAGGATCAAACCAGACAGGACCCTCATGCTGGGAGTGGGAAGTGGACACAGCTTCTACCTCTAACCAAGAAGCTATCTGTAGCTGATACTTGCAAAGCAAAGGTTCGCTTTCTCTGCTGGAGTCTCACTGAGTATATTTATCACACTTAATCTCATCCCCTGCAGTCCAATGCATGTCCAGTGCAAAACAAACTCAATATATATATAAACTCAAAAATAAAGGATACTTTATAGACTTTGTCTTATATTATTTTGTCTGGACATTTTTGTCTTACTGGATGTATATTGTAGTTTCTGAGTGTGTTTTTGTGGTTTTTGTTTTTGACTGGTATGTGAGTGTATCTGTGTTTCTTGTGTTTTTTTCTTTTTCCTTTTTTTCCCCCTATTTTCTAAAGAGAGAAAGGGTATAGAGTTGGGTGGATGAGAAGGTGGAGATGATCTGAGGGAGAGGAAACAAGCAAAAAAAAACCTCATAGTTTTTGTCTGTATACTGTACTTTTTATGCATCTGTTTCTCTATATTGATTGTATGTGTCATATACTCCTGTTTTTGCATAAGTAGTAATTTTTATTGTGTTACAAATATTATAGATTTTACATTTTAATGTACTCAGATTTGTATGTTGGATTTTGCTGCATTTTCTTAGAGAGTTCTGGAGTTGGCTCTTGCACACAGTTATATTACTCCTGGGTAAATTAATCTTTTAAAAAGTTGTCTTATTTTTTTCGTTCAGAACAGCCTTAACTACAGTTGTTATTTCTCTGTCCTATAAATTCTAGTTACTCAACTTCTTTGAACTTTGATACTTGCCTTTTAAACTCAACAAGACCGTCCGTCTCTGTTTGGTTTCTGCCCTCTGCTGTGGCCTAGAAACCGCCTATAGGCAGCAAGCTAGGAAAATCACAGGCTTAAGTCATATTTCTTTTTCTTTCTGTATCAGCCCTGTGTCTGTTGTCAAATATCTGAACAGTTGGTTCATTATGCTTTTCTCTTTTTTCTAATTCCTTGAAGTAGGAAAGCAATTCTGGGTTTTAATATATGATGGGTGGAAGAACAAAAGGTATGTAGGGCTTTTGGGAAGAGTTGGCGAGTGTGGATAGTAAACAATGAGAATAGTTGTTAATGGGCTGGATGCTGAGAAGCCTCCTCTTGTGCACGGCATGGGGAGTCTTTTGTGCCTTTGGTTTCATTGAGAAATAGTTTTTCTTTTCTTTTATTTTTTTAGATTTTATTTATTTATTATGTATACATATACAGTATTCTTGGTATTCTGTCTGCAGGCCAGAAGAGGGCACCAAATCACATTACAGATGGTTTGTGAGCCACCATGTGGTTGCTGGGAATTGAACTCAGGACCTCTGGAAGAGCAGGCAGTGCTCTTAACCACTGAGCCATCTTGAATATGTCTGGCCTTCTCCTTTTACTTCACATGTGGGGAAGCTCACTAAATCTGGTTGATTTGGGGCAAAAAACAGCTGGCTTTGTTTTGTTCTCCTGTGTTTTCCCAGAAGCAAGACCAGAAGCAGGCTGACCCAAGAAGTCATACAGCCCAGCTGGGGCATTTGGTGAGCACATTACACTTGAGGTTCCTGCTCACTATCTAGTTCGAGATGCCTAATATAGGCAGTTTGATATATGGGTCTGCAGCTCCAAAGTGTCCTGGGCTGTCATCTTAGTGGATGTACTGGTTTCTTTTCTTGTTGCTGTGACAAAAGCAACTCAAGGAGGGAGATGCCTATTTTGGCTCACAGTTCGAGGGTGCATTCCCTCATGGTGGAGAAGGCACGATGGCAGGACACGAGCAGTGGGTCCCATTGCGTCTGTAGTTAGGAAGCAGAGAGAGACACATGATGCTGTTCATCTCACTGCCTCCTTTTTATTCAATTTGAAATCCCAGTCAAAGGGATGGTGCTTCCCATATTTAAAGTGAGTCTTCATCCCTCAGTGAGCTCAATGTAGAAATTTCCTCACGGATGTTCTCAGAGTTTGTTCTTCCTGTCAACAGGAACCACCACAGTGGGGCTGGCAGATGACTGGTGAGAATGAACTCCTCCAGGGCAGTTTCTGCCATTATGTGGGGCTTACAGAATTCCTGAATACCCATCACCCTCAATTAAAGGCAATTTTAAACACTGGGACAAATTCACACACATATAGTAAGGAAATAGCTGATTGCATTATGAGTTGATTACTTGGTTACTATGATTAATTTCCTAGCTGAATCTTTTATTGATTTTTGAAAATAAAAGTGCTAACATTTTTTAAAGTAAAAATATGCAGAACAAAGGCAAGAAAAAGTTAATTTTTAGTAAGATCAATAGCACATTGTTGGTTACTGCTGAGAAAGCAGTTGCACCTGTTATGAGTACAATTAATTCTGCTCATATTACAGAGAAATATCTAATTACAGAAGGGTTATATAAAGTAATATAAGTAGCAATGAAAAATATTATACTAAGGAACAGAGGAGCTGTGGTGACATACAGGAAACACTGATGCTGATCTGACTTTATAACACTGAATTTTATTACAGGAGATGCTAACGACTCTTATTAACATTTATATGTGACCTTAATTTTTAAAAAAATGTTTTTGGGTAGAGTTTAGAGAGCTCATGTAAATTCATATAAATTTGGTGTATTAGGGGCTTTCAACTGTTACCAAAAGAGAGAAGCAAATTGACATGTTCCATATTTAAATTAAATTTGTCATCCACTTAGGAGCTTTAGAGGAGAAAACGATCAATCACATTAGGACCAGCTCTTCTTGATGAGTTTTATGTATTGGCTATGAAGCAAACATTAGAAGAAGTTAGGTAAACAAATGGCTTTGTTTTAAATGGCAGGTCATTCTAATGTGACTCTCACAGGTAACTACTGATTTGAAAGAAAATCTGCTGCCTCCAAATTAGAATTTTATGGAAATAGAGCACATTAGAAACTAGAAAAACATCTATTCTCTGGGGATGGGGAGTGATAACAAATCTGTTTCATATTATAATGATACTCCTATTTTAGCTGCTTAGGATGGATGAGTAGGGTTTTTCCTTTGAAAATGAATTGATCTGTAAATGTAATATAAAAGATGTCAAAAAGCTTGTTTTAAGTTTGGCTTTGCCTAAAGCTGTCTGTAGAATATCTGAGTGTTTAGTAATTTGGGGATAAATTTAATTATGTACTCTAGTATTTCCTTTTACTTACACAACCAACAAGTATCTATTAAATTCTAGTGTGTGGTTTTGCAGATTTGAATTCTGAGAATGCAGTGTGAGTGAGTGAAGCAAAGCCCTGCCTTTTAAGTTGCTCAATTCAGTTTTGCAGGGGAAGACAAAGAATACATATCAGTGAAGGGTAAACAAGCTAATACCAGGAAATTACACATGTTGTGAAATGAGGGCCTAAGAATGATAGAAAACGTGCTCTGTTAGATGTGGTGGCTAAGGAAGGCTTTCATCGAGCTGAGATGAAAAGAAGTCATTCTAAACTATGATGAAAGGACTCTTTAGAAGGAACAAATAAGGAGTAAGATCCCTATTGCAAGAACAAGCTTGGAGTGCTCAGTGGAATATGGGAAGTCAAACAGTGCTTGGGAGCATGGTACGTGGGTGTGGGGAACAGAGAAGTAAGTAGGTCATTTGTACTACTTGACTTTAGAACAGCTTTGTTTGGTATTATTAACAGTAAACTTCCTGTATTGGGTTCCTCTCTCCTACTTCTATGTCTTTAGTTTGTAAATTTTTTACTCTAACCGTCACATGGTATTCTCCTGTTCACGTGTTTGTGTCTAAATTTCCCCCAAACATATCGAAAGGGGCCTGTTGTATTCCAATATGACTTAATCTTAACTGCAATCTGATATATTAGAAGTTATAATGTCACAGAAGAATTGTGGAGTTACACAACTTAACACTGCATGTATTTAAAGTGCACAATTTGATGAGTCATCTTAAATCAAGATAACACATTTCTCCTAAAGGTCGTCTGCCCTGTTGATAATCTTTTTCCCTTTGTTAAACCTGAGAATTTGTAAGAGAAAAATAAGTTCCACAATTTTTGAGCCAAATTTGGAGCAAGCTTTAATTAAATACTGGACAGGATGATGGACTCCGCCAAGACCATTTTGGGTTTCTCAGAAAATGGTGACAAGTCACATTTTGCAGAGGTTTAAAAAGGCAAAACCACAAGGCCATAGTATTTCCCATCAGGTCCAATCAGGAGCAAGCATACATCCTACTTCCTGCCTGTATACCTCCTGCCAAAGTCCATCTGCTGCAACAACAATCTCTTCTGCTGCAGTTGGATCAAGCAAACTTGTTTAGTGTAGCAAAAACATGTGACTTGTCATCTCCCAGTCAAGCACAACCCCTGGCATTCCAAGAAATTATCTGTCCTTGGGCCAGTGGGGCTTACAGGGTAACTTAGCCCTTACACTGTATATACCTTTCTCCAACACTAGGCAATCAATTTTCTTTCTGTTTGTATTTATTATTATCAGAATCAGAAAGCATGTACTTGTCTTTTGGATTCACCTTTTCTCACAAACAATATTGCTGTGTCAACGATTTCTGTTTATTATTGACAACTGTTATTTTATATGTGCCATGGCTTATTTGTCACTGTGGACGACCATTGGGTTATTTCTAATTCTAGTTCATTACAAAGACATTGTGAAAGTTTGTACACAAGTATGTGTATGGGCACATGTTTGTGTTTCTTCTGATTTGAATCCCTAGGAGCAGAACGGCTGAGTTAGTCAGCATGTGTATATGTGCTATCATGTTAAATATGACACAGGAATAGTAAAGTAAAGCAGCAAAGGAAGGCATCTGGGAAGTGAGGAAATATAGAAGAAGCAAGGTTAAATAGATGAAAAGAAGAATGAGATTTGAGAAGATTGTTATGGGAATAATATAACAAAAGATTAGAAATAATGGGACAAAATCAAGAAATGACTCCCATAAACATAGAAGGGGGAATAAAATAATATTTCTTTAAACAGCAGCAATAACAAATGCCACTAACAATGTTGTAGAGGGGAAGGTGACAAGCATAGAAGGTTTCTATGAAAAATAGAAATGAATGGAAAAGAATGAAGACTTCCCAATAATGAAAAGATAACATTGGATGCATGTATGAAGAGGAATAAAATGTAATGATGTATAATTGAAAGAAAGCATAGTGCGTGAGTGCATGTGTGTGGAGTATGTAACCTAAGGTAGCTTTTTTTCTGTATCCTCACAAGTTGTAGACTGCTGGTTATTTGCATGGAAATGGGGAGGGTCAGCTGGAATGCAGATACTTGTCTTTGCTATTCCTTATCCAGATGTTGAGCCTTGTAGATAAGTGTCCATATCTACCAGAGCTGTCTTCACTTTAGTTGTTTCTCTTCTTTGCCTACAAGGGGCCTCTGTTGGCTAGGCTTAGCTTGCAGTCTGTGGGCTGGGCAGGTTCTCTCACCCTCCAAAGATCATATCCCCTGGGTGGCTGCTAATCTTGGGGAGAGGGATTGATTAGCTTCCAATTGTAGGAGAGCATGAAAAATCAGTCATAGCACTGAGATCTGTACAGGAGGAGGACCTGCTTTTGTATTTTCAAACCATTGTGAGTGTCAATCACCCTGCTAGAGAGATGCCATGGAGAGATACCAACCCAAAGCACCAGAACTTCAGCTCTGGGACTTCATAGTAGTGGGCAATGAGTAGATGAGAGGAAATGTCAGGGCCATGGGTTTGTCCTGGAGGCCTTTTCCTTAGGGCCACTGGCCTTTTGGAAAAGTTTTCTGCTTCTCCAAATAGTCAATTATGTGTTAAAGGTGTTTAAATAATAGTGTGAATATCTTACTTATACTTACATGCATAATTACCATTTCCGGTGCATTTCAATCCTTAGTGTGGATCTTGATTTATGATCTAGTGTAATCCTTCTGGACTAGCCTGCTAGCAATAAATTCTCTTCAATGGCTTTCACTGAAGAATTCTGGGTTGATACAATTTTTCCCTTCAGCACAGATGAGCCACAATCCTTAAGCTTTATCATTCTTTTTGGAATTTGTCTCCTTATGTTTTCTACATTATCTGTAATTTTGTCTGTTCTTAAGGCGTTTCTCTTTATTATTGGTGTTGGTGATGACATGTTTTAGTTTGGGTTTCTTTATAATTTTATACATGAGTCATTGGGGCCTTTGGAGCTGACTTATTATTTTTATAAGGTCTGTAAATCTTTAAGTGATTGCAGCTTCAATTTTTTCTGTGTTCCTCTTCTTTGAGAATTTTGCTTTCTTATGTTTAGAATCATGACATTTTTCTGAATTCATCAAACCTTAGTCATCTTTCAAATTGTTTTCACTGTGTATTTCATTTAGAATTGCTTATATTAAATATCTTTAGCTTCATTAATCTTTTCCCTTGAAGTATTTAATCTGTTACATATAATCTATCCATAACAGCATACTTTTTGTGAAAATATTGTTGCTTTCATCTTTAGAAGTTAAATTTGGTCTTTTATGCCTCTACTTAGTATTTCCCCTAGGTACTTGAATTTATAGAAGTTGGTTATAATATAATCCCTAGTTTCTTGTTATATATTAATTCTTTTATGTATACCAGTTCTGGTTCAATTTCATCTTATTATGAATTGTACTTTGCTGCTTCTTTGCATGCCTAGAGTTGTTTTTTAGTTAAATGCCACATACTGCAGATTATACCTTGTTGGTTGCTGGATGTTTCTGCATTCCTATCCATATTCTTCAGCTTTGTTTTGTAAGTTGTGCTTTTTGGAAATAGTAAATCCTCACAGGCATTGTTAGAAAAGGTCAGAACAGCATTTAGTTAAAGACTAATCTCCCTCATAATTGAAGCAAAACCCTCTGAGCAGCCGGCCTCATTCTCCATAAATTAGGAGATTACCACTGCTGCAAGTTGGAAAGGATGTTGTGCCTCAACCTGGATGTGTCTGGATAGCTCTCTTTCATCTTCTCTGGATTCCCCCCTGCCCTTCAGCCTCAACTAGTTTCTTCAAATGTATACATTAATCAGTTTTCATCTGAGTACAAAAACGATCCTCGACACCCTCCAGAAGACTCTGCATCTCTGTTCTTTCTAGTATTCTTCTCTGTGAACTCACAGTGCACTGGCTTCCATGGATACTTAGGCCTACTTTATCAATCTAGAAGTACTTTTTCCTCGGCCTTACTTACTGTCTTTCCCTGTACCATAATTAAGACCCTGCCTTTATGGAGTAAAATTGATACCTTTTGTTTCCCTTCTCTTTGCTACCAATTATGGCAAACTCCCTGGTTCTCTGGCTCTTAAAGTCTTTCTTCTGCCTCTTCTACAACGTTCTCTGAACCTCAGGTAAGAGAGTGTTTGTAGATGTACCTACTGGGACCAGGCTCTACAACTCTGTATTTTGATTGGGTGTGGTTTTCTCTCTGTTGCAAAGAAGTTTCCTTGATGAGGGGTGAAGAAGATACTTATCTGGGGGTATAAGGACAGATGTTTAGATTGCTGTTAGGGATTGTGCTGGTTTAGAAGTTTAATGGTTATAGACTCCCCTCCGATAGCCATGGTTTTATTAGCACTGAATAGTTCGCTATGTTTTTAGTAGAAGGCATGGATTATGATTATGGATTAGAGATTATGATGTTAGTAGTTTGTATTCAGAATATGTGCAGACCTGGACCAGCTGTTCTTGTTTTATATCTGTTAAACTATGTGTTGTCTGTGAACATCTCCAGACTGAGTGTCTGTGTAATGAACTGCAACCAAATTTAGTATGTAAACTTGCTAAAGATGCAATGTAGTAAAGTTGTGGCAAATAGCTGTCTTAGTCAATCATAGAAATCACGCCTTCTCCATCATGAGCAATCAACTGTTCAGAACACACTCCTGTAAGCCACACTCTGAACAGCATCCAGTCAGACTATTTCTGTGCCTCCCTCTCTCTGCTTTCTGTCCACAGATGCTGCCTGACTTGTGTTTTGAGTTCCTCTATTTCTTTTCAGAGCCCTGTCTGATTTGCAAGTCTTTCTTTGTTCAGTTAACTCTGTTAAATGTATTTTCCCTTAACTCTTCCTTGACTTTGCCATCATCCTTTGGGGAGACTCACTTATGCCAGAAATCATATTTTGTCCATCACATTAATAATAAAGATTAAAGTAAGGGAAGACAAATGGGATATTCAATATCTACCATATGCCAGGGGTTCTATATATTTAATTCCTTTAAAACCCCTAATCATTAGAAAAGCCATGGAGAATTAGAGAAGGGTTTGCAAGAGTGGTGTTTCTCAGATGAGCCATGAGAGATGAACAGGAGTTATCTGAGATGGGACATGGGATGAAGTTCTGGGCAGGTGTTCCAGCAGAGGGAACAGAATATTCCCAATGGAAAGGGAAGTAGAACTAACTTGAAAAACTCAGCTCAGCTTGCCTAAAGCCACAGGAAGCAGAGAAAGGCTGTGGCTTGAGGATCAGGAGATGGTGAAGATAATATCAGAGTCAGAATAGACCATGAGGGGCTTTAAAAGAGATACTAAGCCTGGACATTTTTTTTCTTACCCGAGGGCCATTTGGAAATGCCAAGTGCAAGTCTGGGGCATGATACTTTAGTTACAGTGTGGAAAAAGTGGATTAAATGAGTAAAATTAATACATAGGTATAGAGATTGAGAAAGTATAGATTAGTTCAACATATTGAGTAATAACTTCACACTTGACCAACCATTTGCACATTCAATGACTATATTGGCTAAATATTTATCAAACATATTTTTGTGTTATTATAAATTAACTATTTCTTATGGAGTCCCTGCTATTTGCCACTTATATAAACAGTGATATTAATTATTTTCTGAGACGTGATGATGCTATGTATTTCATTCATGCCTTGAAGTCTCCATCCCTCGCTTCCTGAGTTTTAGGATTACAAGCACACATCAATGTACCTTTTGAAAGGCGAGGAACCTGGAATAAGCACAACTCATGAATGCAATGATATTGCTAGCTAATGACCACACCAGAATTTGATCTCAGGTCAGTTTGACATCCTGCCAGATTTAGCCATGTTACTCAAAGAAACCTTTCACATTGTAAGTTATATCAACATCCTTTAAAGTCCAAACAAAACAAAACATTTTGAACTAAAATATTTTTGTTGTCATACATGGGTCAATTGACCTAGATTTCCAGAAAGAAATTGCCTTTGCTTTATAGATGAATAATTTCATGTATATATCTCTACATAAATAGGTGACATTTAGAGCCCTTAAGCCCCAGATAAATTTGCATTCTCAGGAGTTTTTCACCATTTCTCCTAATTCTATGGTCTATATTAATATTAACAGATATTAATATCAATAATTAACATTAACAAATATTAATAAAGAATATATTTGAAATAAGAGAGAGGAAGATGCATGCTATAATAATGTCAGAGTTTCCGGGGGAGGATATTATGAGCCTGTTTGTATAAACAAGTTTTATTTGGGGTTCAGTATGAATTTTCAATAGATGATTTTCAGATAAGGAAGCAGCAATCCAAATGCAGTTATATAAACAAGAAGATCAGAGGGGACTTATCCTGAAGGGTATAAAATGAACAGAGTCTGGGCCATCACAGCATCCACTCGCCAATGCAAAGAAAGGTAGGTGTCTACCCTGAGCAGGCCCTGCAAACGAGATGCTTTTATTATCACTTCATTTTAACAGTGTAGCATTTCTTTAAAAACTGCAAACGTTGAGACAGAACTGATAGGCTCGACAGTTTTTAGTTATTGTTCCAGATCATGCAGGGGTGGGTGAAGGGGAGTGAGCCCCACATCGGCTGATGAGATGAGCCCGCGCTGACTGAGGATGCACACAGCCCGCCAGTCTGCTGGTGGAGAGTGAACAGGGTGCAAGAACTTCTCCTGCTCACAGGTCGACCTCAATGTGTTTAGCACTAGAATAACCTGTGCATTTAATCCTCACAATTACTAATGGCCATTTTGATGAAAATGTGTTTGGGGAGAGTTTTAGAATTCACTTTGGAGTGTGTACATGGGTAACAGTGTTTTCACTGCCATCAGGGACACTCCATGTAACAAGATCTTTTTAGCTATTTAATAGCGAATCTCTCTTGGCTAGTATACAATACATACACCTTATTAATCTAATACATTTTTCTTTCTGGAAAAGTACTCTGCTTTAGTGAAATGCTGGGGTTGCTCAGAAGTAGAAAAATTGATTCTTTTCATTGTACAGTAAGTAATGACTTCAAGTAGAAAAGAGAGGTAATAGATATTAGCAGAGCAGAGAGAAATGTGTTTCATAATGCGAATAATAAAAGCAGAAGGAAAATATGGAGAAAAGGTTAAGGGAATGAACACAGGGAACGTGCTGAGAAAAGGAAAGTATTAGCACTGGTTTACACAGTGCTATGTAGCTAAGGAAATTTTCTTATATAGGAGTCTCATGCATTATTTTATTTTTATGACAGCAGCATTGTAGATTACTAATTCGAATTTAACACAGAATCACGGATTGTTCGTGCTGTGAAGATTTTCCTGGTAGCCTTTTGATGTTTAATGTTTCTTTTATAGACAAGGAAATTGAGGTACAGGAAAGTTAAGTGAATAAAGTTTTACTATTTATAATAAAGAAGAAAATATACAGAATCATTCACATTCTTTATCTTTGCAGCATTTTATGAGCACCATGACTGGTGATCCAGTCCTTTTTTTATGCCTTGCTTTTGTTATGTTAAACTTCTATATTTATAATAGGGAGTCTTGCTGGGCAGTGGTGGCGCATGCCTTTAATCCCAACACTTGGGAGGCAGAGGCAGATGGATCTCCGAGTTTTAGACCAGTCTGGTCTACAGAGTGAGTTCCAGGACAGCCAGGACTACACAGAGAAACTCTGTCTCAAAAATTAACCAAAACCAAAAAACCAGAAACAAACAACCCCCAACAACCCCCCCCCAAAAAAAAAACAAAACCAAGAAACCCAAAAGGGAGTCTTAAAAGTGTCACTATTTTAGAAGAGATTTTAAAAATCATGTGTTCATGTGTGTACTGGATATGAGGGTGCCTGTGTAGATCAGAGACATCGATCCCCTGGAGCTGGAGTTACAAGGGGTTGTGAGTTATCTGATCTGGGTGTGAGAGTTGTGCTCAGGTCCTTTACAAGAGACATACTTGATCTTAGCCACTGAGCCATTTTTGCAGCCCTATCTTACATTTTTTAAAGGGTCTCGTGTGTTCCTCTGGTTTTATCTAGCAGGTGAATAAATGAGATTAATATTTTCATCAGTTTCTTATAGACCATGGGAAATTTCTGCTCCTTAGGTTCTGAGCCAATATTCAGATTATAGGTTACTGACATGCTGTTCCATGTAGAACTGCGGAGCTAGAAGCCATTGGAGGACTGTGAAGATGGCCAGGGCTATGTGGACAGGAAGGGAGAGTATTCCATCACACTTACCTGGCTGCTATTTTTAAGATCCTTTGGAGAATCCTCTTGATCTGTGTCACTAATATAATAAACTAACTGAATACTATATAGGGAACTTGTATTTTTATGAAACACCTGGAAAAATCATAATTCCTGAGAAAGGAATTCTTAAGGCTTCAGCAGGGGTAGAATCTTAACTGTAGAGCTGAATATGAGGTTCAGTATGTGTGAGGCTCGGGTCCTACATCGGAATGCATCAAATAACAAAACCAGGAATTTTTATGTTTTTACTTCCTAATGCAAACATTTAAAAAATGCTGCAAGGGATGCTCACATGTGTAATGCCTTGCTGAACAGAGTTTACCACCGAACACTTTTTCATTACTCATCCATCTACACGAGTAGCAAATGTAATAAATGGAGGGCAATCGAGTCATAGCTTGGACTTTCTTAGAGAACTTAGAACAAACTATATTTTAAATTTGTGTCATACTTGGTTCCTCTTGAATTATTGGTGTTTTGAGTCAAGGACTATGTTAATACATGTCTCAGTGCATAGTCCAGATGCTCAGTACAGGTGTGTTTATCCAATTTCGGCAATGCCTTTGCTAGGAATAAGAGGCTGTTGAAATGGCTGTAGGAGTTGACATTTAGAATCAGTCCTTAGGAACTTTTGTAATACTTATTTTTGTCTTATACATTTATTGAAGACAAAATTCTGGTTACCTGAGACTGACTTACAAGGTTTCAATAAGTAGAGATTTTAAAGTATGCAGCTTCCAATTGTTGACCCAATTGACAGATTTGAGAAAATCTTGATATATTTATGATGATTTAATAAATTGTGTAGTGATTAATTTTCTTTTAATTTTTTTATAGCTGTTTATTGTGGGGTGGTGGTGCTGGGGAAGCACGACAGCATACATGTGGAGGTCAGGACAACTTCTGGGAGGGAGCCTGTTCTCTGCATCCTCCATGGTCAGGACAACTTCTGGGAGGGAGCTTGTTCTCTGCATCCTCCATGGTCAGGACAACTTCTGGGAGGGAGTCTGTTCTCTGCATCCTCCATGTGTGTTCTGGGCCTGAGCTCAGGGAACTGGGCTTGAGCAGCAAATGCTTTTACCCCAGAGCCATCTTGGCAGTCAGTGAATAATAATTTAATAGAATTGCTTCAGTGAGGAACACACACACACACACACCAACACACCAACACTGATAGTTGAGAAGGAAAAACATCCAAACATACCTAGTTAGTAATATTAGTAAAAGGAAATAAAAAGTCTTCTTTATCTTAGAGGTGATCAACCTACATCTAAAAGTCTGAAATTTGATTATCCTCTTTCAGTAACAGAATCAAAATAATTATAAGCCATAAGCATTTCCCAGATCATTACAAGCTCAGCTGATACTGATAGCTTCTCTGTTAGACAGGCTGGCCGGGACACATGTTCTGATCGGTGGCCCCCTTGCTGCCCTCCATACAGTCACGACTGTAAAGATGGATCTGTTTTCTTGGCTGGACTAGTCTAAATGTGTCAAACTAGTATTTTCAGCTCTCTGTATTCTTTTAAATAATGAGTGCTCTGCAACTTCTATGTAAAATGATCTTTTATTTCAACTTGAATTTTTTTCAACTCTAAAAGAATACCTTCAAGGATTCAGAAGGGCCTTCTAGCTGGTGTTATTACTTCACACTAGTCATAATTTTACCTGCATTTTTCAGGACCTTCTCCAGCTTCCTTGACTAGCAGTAGTAGAATTATAGGCAAGATTACAAACACTGGGGGGTACCAGAGTTTGGTTATTTTTCTTGGTTTCTTTCCATCTCTAATTATATGAATCTTTTAAGCTGTTGAACCAACATTTTTAGACACTTATAATTCTGGAAAAGTCCAGTCCGAAAGAATATTTATTGATTAATTCTTATAATGACAGGCATTTTATTACAGCTCTATTGAATGAATTATTTCACACTTAGTTTACCAAAAGCTGTCAGTTTTCTGTTGTGATATTGCAAGCTTGCATGTCACTTCCCAAGGGAGCTCAGTGGTACTTGTAGGCAAGACCTCTAAAATGTGAGCTTCTGTACTATGAGTGTGCAGGTCCATAGCTGCATCCGCGTGTATGTGAGAAGGTCTGAGAAGACTGGATATGTAAAAACACCTCATGTAGGGCTCAGAGCTAAGTAACTATTCAGTGTATTTTAGCTGTCCCCATTATTGGCTGCGTGTTTATATATATGCATAAGCTTTCCACAAACATGCCTCTGAATGTACAGAAAGGATACATGTAATGAGTTCTGTGATTTTTATCTTTGATTTAGCATGAGTGCTATCGTCCTGCTTTCCGTGCTTTTTGCTCTTGCATTTGGGCAAGCAGCATCTTTTTGTATTCCAACTGAATATACAATGTACGTGGATAGGAGAGAGTGCGCCTATTGCCTGGCCATCAACACCACCATCTGTGCCGGGTATTGTATGACAAGGGTATGTTGTTCACTGTACTTCCTTTAGCTACAAATTATATAGGCCGGAAGTAATCTGTTAATATTTAGAAAGTAAGTGAGATAAATCATAGCATAATTTTCCAATCCAATGGTACTGTCTTTTTGGGAAGCCAAGAGCATTGTTTTTAGAATTACAACAATGTGTCTCTATTTGGAAAAAGAAATAAAGATACATTTGCAATAGTCTACCCCCAATTTATTTAAACCTCATTTTGTTCTCCTGATCAAAGGTAAATGAGAAGAAGGTGTCTTTTGGGGGGGCGGGGCCTCTGGGGGGTTAAGTGCAGATGTGTTAAGCTAGTATTGAGTAACAGAGTTCAAGAGTCCTCTATAGGTCATCACTGAAATAAAGGGATGTCAGTAAATTATGGTCTTTCTATCGCACTATCTAGAGCAGTGTGAAATTTACACATTATGATCCCTTTACTTTCCATAGGATATCAACGGCAAGCTGTTTCTTTCCAAATACGCGCTCTCCCAGGACGTTTGCACATACAGAGACTTCGTCTACAGAACTGTGGAGATACCAGGATGCCCACATCATGTTGCTCCTTATTTCTCCTACCCTGTTGCCATCAGCTGCCGGTGCGGCAAGTGTAACACTGACTACAGTGACTGTACACACGAGGCCGTCAAGACCAACTACTGCACCAAGCCACAGACATTCTATCTGGGGGGATTTTCCGACTGACTTCAACGGTACTGCCACTCGCAATCTGGTTAAATGTGTTTACCTGGAATAGAACTAATAAAATACCATTGATACGTTTTGCCTACCGTTTAATCCATAGGCACATCCACACGGGCACTAGGGAGCTTAGGAAGCTTTAGAAGGAGAGGTGCATGAAAGAGGCTGTCATGGTTTCCATACAGAGCAGATGAAGGCAAACGGAAAAGTGGAGCATGAGCTGCCGCTCAGCCCCAGAGATGTTGCCTACAGACAGCAGGGGGTCTGTCTTGACCTAGAAAGCCAGTGAGAAGGTACTGCAGAATTACAGAAAGGAGGGGCTGTCTTTAGAAGCTGGAGGAATACGCTGTCCCTTTAAAGACCAGCAGCAGGGCTTGAGTGCACTGGTGAGACAGGTCCCTATGGAATGTGGCACAGAAAACATTACCTCTGTCATTCATGTGCTCTGAATAAAACTCCACCCAAATTCAGCCAAGAGCATGGGCGCCATTCTCCTTAATTTAATTACTCTGGTGAGCCAGCTGACCTGTGAAAGGGATACCCTGGAAGGTCAGCTAATAAAGCCTGCAAAAGAGGCCACGATCATTTTACATGTGGAAGCCTAAATCCTTCATAGTCCCTCAAGTAACAAGAGATACCTTCCAGCATTTATACCAAAAGCAACTTATGCTTTGGGGCTTTGGCTATCATAAAACACTAGTACAACCACCACAGGTTTCAGGGTCGGTGGAGAGGGCTAAGAGATTCAATGGAGTGGGTTCTGTTGTTTTATTTAACCTTAACCTTTGTTTATAGGGAGACATTGCTTTGGGTTTATAGGCTTAGTAGCGGGATATTTCTCTTTTCCTTCCTTAGATGCTCCTTCTTAAGAGTTGAACTTTAAGTGATGTTCTGTGGACTCAATCTTAAAAAGACTTTCTTCTATTCAGCCATTAATTGTCACCATGAAGTTGAAAACTACTTCTCAGTAGGGCCACGTAGAGTGGCTGTGTTGCACAGCCACTGGGGAAGCTTAGCTGGGCGTCTTGTGATTACCTGCATGCTGACAGGGATGACTGGTACCAAACCCTCACTTAGCTAAGGATGAGGGAATAACTGTGCACTTCCTTCCATACAAGAGCCACACAGCTACGGTACTCTCACCTTAATATCTAAAGCTGACACTTGCCTGAACACTAATCGAAAGCTGGGACTCGGAGTTCTCATGCCAACTGATAACGAGCACCCAGTCATTTAAGATTGTTAATCAAATATAGACATTTGATGGCCGTGTAAAATGTATAAAGTTCAAACCTACCTGGCATTAGCCATAAATGATTCTCAAGCATCCTGAAAGTGATTTTTTTGTGAAGAGATTTGGACTCTAGAAAGGACAAGTTGTTCACAGAGGCTACCTATAGACAGCACAGCTTTGGAAAATTTTATCTTTTGAATTACTTTAATAAATTTCCTGACTCTGCAGGGAGGGGCCAGCTCAGACCATGGATATAACCAGCCAGCACTATCACTGACCGGCACAAGAGTGGGCGCGTGACTTTACTTTCACGGAAGGAAGTATGTTTGGAAGATGCACATGTGAATTTTATTAAACTATCCTTGAAGGTGAAGCTGTCTCAAACACAAAAACCTTAGGGCGGAGCTCAGGGATCGAGGTATCCAAAAACTTACCTAGCTGGGTCCACATGCTTGGAGATATGGTAACTCTGTTGTGAGGAACCTTGCTGTTCTTTTGGTTTAAAACAAGGAAAATGGGATAGAGAGGCTCAGAAATGGGAAGAGGAGGTGCTGGAGGATGGCTCAGAGGACAGAGCACTGCTGTCCTTCCAGAGGACCCTGGTTCAATTCCTAGCACCCACATGGCAGATCACAACTGTCTGAAGTCCAGTTCCAGGCAATCTGGTGTAGCATGAATAATAAAACCCAGAGACAGATATTGGGGTTAACCTGAAGATCAGAAAAGAAAGCAGCCAACCACTAGAGAGACCTTTTACCTCTACCAAATCTTCAGAACGAAGGGGCAAGATCCCGTCTTTGTGAATCCTCAGATTCCACACTCCACCGAGTTCCTGTCTCTTCCCCTTTATATTCCTCTCTCCCCACAGCCATATCACCCCTGTCTCCACTTCCTTAGTGCAGGAATTAAAAGTGTGTGACTCCTAAACACTGGGATTAAAGATGTGAACCACCACCACCTGGATCTGTTTCTGGATCTATCTAGTGTAGTGCAGGGTAGCCTTGAACTCACAGAAATCTGTCTGCCTCTGTCTCCTGAGTCCTGGGATTAAATGTGTGTGCCACCACTGCCTGGCCTGTATGGCTGACTAGTGTGGCTGCTTTGCCCTCTGATCTTCAGGCAAGCTTTATTTATTAAAACACAAATAATATACCACTGTAATCTGGCACCTTCACACAGACATACATGTAGGCAAAACGCCAATGCACATAAAATAAAAATATATTGATTTTTTAAAAAAGAAATGGGAAGATGAAAAATCATTGCTTATAATGTTGGAGAGAGGCAGACACTGGAGCATCGCTGGGAGTGATCCTTAAGTTCCCTGTAAAGTTCAAAGGACTCAGTTTTTTACCAGAGGAACTCAATGCTCCAAGAAAAAAAAAAGTCTCATTTGACTAAAATATAAACTACAAAGAGCTCTCTCAAAACTCAAGGATCTAGAGTCCCTGCTGCAGCAGTCTTTCATGGCCACATTCATGGAGAAAAAGTAGAATGTACCAGCAAGAATGTGTCGCAAGTTCACAGCATAGCATGGCACTTCCTGGTAATAGGAAATTCTAATAATAGAAAATCTCCTTTATAAAACAAAACCATCTTTAAAATGCAAGAGTAGCAATTCTGAGCGAACACAAAAATCCTCGTATTGAGGTTACTTCTTCTCTAGTCTATTTTTCAATGCTTTTTCTTTCTTGTCTGCTGTAGTTAATGTCTCCTTTTCTGTCTTATAAGACAATTCGGTGTCAGTGTCTTTTCTTCAGCTCCCCTCTATCCACTGCACTCAGTATACATGTCCCTCCTGGTGGCTGCATGCTGCTTCTCCCCTGCCTGCTTTCAGGACTCAAGTTGGACTGATGGGGGGGCATGATGTTCAGGTTAGGAGCTGGGCAGAGAGCTGACTGCAATCCCTCCCAGTGGGAGTCATTCCTGGAACTCAATTTCACCTCTTGAAAAGGAGTGCTTGGTTTGGGGATTGATAGAACAGGAGCTTAAAGCCACTGTGGGGCATCTTTGGCATCTCTTAGAAACAGAGAGCCTGAGACAAAAGAGTCAAGCCAGAGGGGAATAAGACAGCCCAAGGAGGAGAAAAAGATTATACATTTGAGTATAATCTGAAGCCCCCACCCTTAAAGAAAGCCCCAGTTTCTCATTTGACACTTGCACTTGAAAAGCCTTGCTTGACGCAGCGGCTTTAGTTTCAGATGTTCCTAATACCATCCCTTAAGTGCGCGTCTTCCCTTGCTGTGTGTCATGGTTCTTTTCCTCTTTCTTGACCCTTCTCTTTGGTGGGAAACAGCTGTGACCTCACTCACCCGCACACACGCAGACAAAAAGGAAGAAAGGAAGGAAGAAAAAAAAAGAAAAGAAAAAGTCTACAACTCCATGCAGTATTCTAGTTACTTCCCCCATGAAAGTCAGCCATAGTAGCCACATACTTCCTTACTTCTCATCCTCCAAACTACCATTTGTATGCTACTCCTGTTCTTCTTCGAAGCTGTTTCAGTAAGGGTGACAGTGGCTAGCTAGTGACCCGATACATAGACAGCTCTTGTCTTGATCCCTTTGCTTCCAAAGAGCCTGGTGAAGAACACATACCTGCATTCACAAAGCTATAGAGCTACAGCATTTGATTAGTCCTAATGAGGATGAAACCAGCCTTTTCTCATTTTTCTTTTGAGACCAAGTCTCAGCCTAGGCTGGCCTTGAACTTTTAATGTAGCCCAGCTGGCTTCAAGCCTATGCCTATGGTCCTCTTGTCCTTGCCTCCCAAATGCCGAGGTTGCAAGTGTGGACCACAGTGCCTCACCTATTTTTAAATATGCATTTTCTTTTTAATCTTCCTTTTCAAGGATGACTCAAAAATCTGTGTTATAGCCTTTAGCTGGTAATGTAGATCTGGACTGTAGTTGGGGGATAATTTTGCTTGATGCTGATATAGGTATGAAGATTCTAAACTTTGAAGGAAAATCTAGATCTGCAGTAATCTCAAGTGTCCTGTTGGTCCTTTGGACACTGCTAAATGAAGAACATATAAAAAATTAGAATTTGTAGTAATTTGTCCTTGGATGTCCTAAGGAAGTACCTATTTCAGTAATCTGAAGCTGCCTTCCACTTAAAGAAACCATAGCTTTTCTTTAGCTAGAAGTGAAGTTAGATGTCAGATGTCGGCTACTGCAGGAACACAGGCTGCTCAGAGAGAATTTGTGAGTCTGAAATTAAGGAATATGTGAGGAATAAATGACTGTTGCAGGGTTTTTAACCTATTAGCATAGAGCACTCTAATTAAAAAATTTTTCAGATTTATTTATTTTATAAAAATTTATATTTTGCCTTCACGTATGTGTGTGTACCATGTATGTGCCTGATACCCACAGAGGTCAGAAAAAGGCATTAGGTTCTCTGGTTGTCATGGCTGTGAGCCATCATGTTGATTCAGGGAACCAAACCTGGGTCCTCTGTAGGGGTAACAAGTCTTCTGATTTCATAACTGTTCTTTCTCATTAAGGATTAAAAAATATTTATTATTTCTTTGTGTGTGTGCCTACATGAGTTTATCTGCACCAAAAGCATGCTGGTGCTCTCTGAGCTATAGGCAGTGTGAACCCCCTGATGGGGATGCTAAGGCCCAGGTCCTCTGCAAGAGCAGCAAGCACTTTTAACCACTGAACCTCCAGCCCCTCTCACTGGAGATTTAACCGTGAGCGGTGGCTTATCTTATTTGAAGCTGGGCACTCTCACTTTTCTAGAGAGTCCTTTATAGCAATCTTAGAGCTCTTTCTGAGCGTCAGTGTCATATACCCAAAGAGTTTATTTCTCCTCTTTTAAAAGATGTGTGTGTGTGCGTGCACGTGTGTGTGTGTGTGTGTGTGTGCGTGCACGTGTGCGCTTGCACACGCCCAGATGTACAATGGTGCATGTGTGGAGGTCAGAGGACAACTTGTGGGGATCCAGGGATTGAACTCAGGCCATCAGGCTTGGTGGCAAGTGCCTTAATCTACCAAGTCCCCAGCCCTAGGTTCCTCTCTCACCCTCACACCCGGCTTCTCTTGGGTACTTTGTGTTAGGGTGGGTGCCGAGCACATCAGTTAGGATCTTTAGGGCTGGTCTTTGCCACCATCTCCTCATTCTGAAACGTAGTTATCTTTAAAAGTCTTGATGCTTGAAAGCTTGGTTTGTTAAAGCTTTCTTTCATAATCCACTATTTACAGCTTTTCTCCTTCCCTTCGGACAAAAATAAGATTTACTGGGGCTATTTATTTATTATTTTGTTAGTTTGGGACAAGCCCTCCTTGAATGTCTTCACGTACTATTTCAGAGCCTTCTTGTATGTTTTCCTCTGAAGACAAAAGCACACAGTTTCTTCTGTTTCAACTGTGGCCAGTGTGTGTTTTTCAGGAGTCAGGCCAAAGGTGTCAACATCAAGGAAGTTTTTCTCTGGACCACGCTTCCCAAGTTTGAGTGGCCCACTCTGGGTTAAAGTTTATCATAGCACTACGGCAATGCAGCCTACCTTTCCAATCTCACCTTGTCACGCCCATAATCTGCTAAGGGACCATTAAATTCCTAAGATAACTTCAAACAGCAAGAAACAAAACAAAACAAAAAAACTCCCAATAATCAGAATGCATATTACAAGCGGGAGCAGGCCCAGAGAAAAATATATAGATGCCAGCTGTGACTATTATATAGCTTTTGAATTAAAACAGAATTGGAAAATCAAAAGATATTAACGGGTTCAACAAATGTTCATATAGCGAATTGAGATCATGTGCCACTATTTTAAATTTTGTATGATTTTTAGAAAATGACTTATACAGACCTCTTTGTCAGAGTATAAACACAATTATAATGGCTAGTATTCAGTGTTCCTAGGTATGGTATTTTATGTTTATTATTGACTTATTTAAAATTAACATGAAATTTAAATTTCTTTAATTTTTTTTTGCTATTTGGTAGGAGTAAAAAAAATTATAAAATATACATGAGGAAAAACCCCAAGCACAAAAAGGTTTCTAGCATATTAACTCAACACTTTCCGAAGCCAGCATAGACTGGCTTTGTAAAACACAGGGCATGGTACTTGTATGCGTCATGATTTCCCTGTTTCCAGTGGATAGCATCCCTTAAGGACACCAAATAATAACATTTTATATTGCTGTAATATTTTCACCTTTAAAAAACATCTATATAGAAAAAATCCTTTTCTAGTGAAAAAATGAGGCATGTTTAAAGAAAACAGAAAACCGTCACTCTTAGCTAGGTGGTGGTGCAACGCCTTTAATCCCAGCACTGGGGAGGTAGTGACAGGCAGATCTCCGGATCTCCGTGAGTTCGAGGCCAGCCTGGTCTACAAGAGCTAGTTCCGGACAGGCTCCAAAGCTACACAGAGAAACCCTGTTGTCTTGAAAAAACAAAACAAAAAACCAAAACAAAAAAAAAAAAAAGAAAAGAAAAAGGAAAAAAAGGAAATTGTCCCTTTTAAAATACACACAAATACCAATTTGATTCCGATGCATTCAAGCACTGATTGAGTCAGCATTACCTTCAAGAGCCATAGATTGCTCTTTCTCGGTGATGGGGAAATGAGATGGGCTTGGTGTTGAAGAGCTTGTCAATGGGGCCGTGAAAGCTGGACTGTGGGGAGTCCTAGTGGCTGGCCTCTGGGTCACCGAAACCCTTACCAGCGACAAGACAGCAAGTCATTGAATATTTGGAACACATATTTCAGAAGGGAGAAAATGCTGTTCCTCATAGATTATTATTGAGATTATCATCATCTCCCCACGAGTCTCCTTCTCAGGCAGCCACATCATTAGAGGCGTCACAGGGAAGGGATGGGTATTGCTGCGGGAGGACCACAGTGGACCCAGGATTCACTTGACAGGCCAAGCCACAGACAACCATGCTTCTCTGGAGTAAAGAGAAACAGTTCACCCAAACTGTATGTAGTTAGAATTGTTGGGGTACTGCTTTTGAGCCCACCTCACAATGGCAGGATGGAAGGGTCACCCATCTGTTTTTACTACATTGTTTGGGTAAACTGGGTAACACATTTTAATAGGGAATGTGAGTGTGGATAAGAAGATACACTACGATTTTAAGAGAACTCAAGCAGAGTAAGTACATAGAAAATTTAATTTGAAATAACTTAAAATGTTTGGGTTTGATCTCAAATTAGTTCAGGTATACAGAAACAACTGAAAATGTATACACATGGGCATGTGTATGCATACAAACATTTATCTCCATAATTTCATACAGGCACACATGTATTAAAATTACATATGTATAAATCCTCAAGAGATATGTATTTAAGATATGTATAGGTCAAGACATAGGGATTATATATCTCTATAGATATAGCTTTATCTATTCACATAAAGATATATATCCATCTTTCCTCGGAGATGGAATTCTCTAATCTTACACATTCTTTGGAAAGCTTAAGCCACAGGAGGTACACTAATCACACACGGCACAGGTTTCTAGACTTATTCCTCCATGGTAAAAAATTATTTCTATTCTTCCACTTACAGTTCCTGCGGTTTTCCTTAAAGTTGTTCATTCAGAGAGAGAATGAAACTCAGTTCTGAACGGAAAATAATTCTGAGCTGGCGTAACCTGAGGACACACTTCAGCCTGCTTTCTGTCCTCAGGTGGACATAGAAACTGAAGCTATAAGATGGGCCTCTTTGCTTCAAAGGTTGCGTTTGTCAACGATTGGGGTTTAAAAACTTTAAGTAATTAAAAAAAACTAATAATTTGCTTAGGTAGTCACACAGTTAAACTGTCAACCCCCTCACACTCTTTTCTCTAAAGCTAGTAGCAGTAGCAAGAACGGCTGAAAGAAGACAGCAAGTGGCGCTCTTGGAAGTTTCTCAGCACTTTAACACACACCCAAAGTCTTGTGTGTTCTTAGTGGGCACAGAAGCTCCTCTTAGGGTTTCCAAAATCCCTCCCACCCTCACTTTTGTGTGGTCAAATACAATGTTAAAATCTGTAATTTATGTACTTTAACAAGCTACATGTTAAATCACGACAAGCTTGCTGGTTTAGATCCCTGCTCTGGGGTTTCCCTCTTGCAGTCAAAAGGCTAAGCCCTGGCTGGGTTTTCCCACTTCAGATCAACCACTCAGCCCCCCAAAGAACCTGAGCATTGCTTTCCACAGGGATTTGCTGAGAAAGAACATACATGTGCTGGAGCTGTATGTAGAAAAGTATCTTTGAGGCCGGGCGGTGGTGGCGCATGCCTTTAATCCCAGCACTTGGGAGGCAGAGGCAGGTGGATCTCTGTGAGTTCGAGACCAGCCTGGTCTACAGAGCTAGTTCCAGGACAGGCTCCAAAACCACAGAGAAACCCTGTCTCGAAAAACAAAAAACAAAACAAAAAAAAAGTCGCCAGCTTGCCTTTGTTATGTGTACACATCTTGGAGAAGGTGTTTATCTTGGTTTGACCATGGTCCTCATAATATAATATCTTGTGTTATGGGGGATTTATTTATTTTAAAGGATGAAAACTGTATTCTAAAGCTATAAAGAACTCTCTACATGGATTAATTAGAAAAATGCAAAAAATTAGGAAGATATGTAAACTCAAGTTATGAGGTATTCCAAAGGAGCAGTGCCAGTGGGGTTCGCCCGCCCCACACTGCAGCGCTCTTACTGTCTGCCACTGTGGGGTTCACACAACCTCACACAGCAGCACTCTTGCTGTCTGCCACTGTGGGGTTCACCCAACCTCACACTGCAGCGCTCTTGCTGTCTGCTGCCACTGCAACTGGAGAAGCAGGAGGAGCAGGAGATGGAAGCCCTTCTGGAAAGGCAAGGCTTCCAGCAGCTCAAAGCAGAGGCAGGAAAGAGAGGGTTAAAGCAACATCTACATGCCTTTGTCTAGCAACATTTTCCCCCTTAAAAGTTGCTATTTTTAGTCCTAAAAGCACTCACTTTTACGGGGCACGTGCTTGTCTATGTAACTTCCCTTTTCAGAGAGAGGTTTTCTGCTTTTAAATACTAAGAAAGTACGGTGTTTTCAAATTAGATTTTCCATGCTATATTTACTTTTACAGATGTGTTTAGTTCTAAAACTGTGGGTTTACTGTATTCTGGGGAGAATATATATACGCCAAGAAACCTTTACACTCAACTCAGACACAGTAGTTAATCTTGACCCCTCAATTCTAATAGCTTATTGCTTCCATTAACTAGAAATCCTGCATTCTCTTTATGGATCTAACTTAAATGGCTAAAATCTGAGAAATAGGCCATTGTCACATTCCCTGAACAGCCAGGTTTTACAAGTCTTTCAAAACTTGATCGCTTTTTTCCTGGTACTTCAATAGGTTTTCCGTCTGCACACACGAATTAGGGATTCCCAGGAAACAAATATCAGTACTGCAATGCATATACCAGAAACACACAGACCACATGTGACATTCACTCAAGGGGCAAGTCAGTAATGAGTCAGACATACATACATGTGCAAATGTACAGTTAAAAGCAAATTATTTTAGCTTCTAAAATCCTGAATATTAAAAGTGAGCTGAGATAGCTCTTGTGACATTTAGCATGAACACTCTAGACTGCCATTTTCATGACGAAGTATCTTCAAATCACATCTCGTGAGTTTCGTATTGCGCAGCAAAGCACCATGCTGAATATCATGCCAAAGATCTGCAACAGAGAAAACACTCCTTAGCAACTTCCACACGCGGCTTCGATAAGAAGATCAGCAACGGTGGCCGTGTCTAGCTCAAGTTACGAAAAGAGCGTAACCAAGGCCACTGGCTGTAAATGACATCGTGTCTGTTCTTTAAAGATGGCTATAAGCAAGACTTGTGTGTCAGCCTAGCTGAGCTGCTGTTTTCTTTCTTAACAGACAAGTTTCTGGCTTATGGTTCTTAATGGTTATGAAAGGTTGATACATTTCTGGCTTTTGAATTTTATATTTTAGGTGAATCTCAGATTTATTCGCTCAGAAAAAAATGTTTTCTTAATTTCTTAGGTAAATGTGCTTTTGGTCTAACTGTCAGCAAAGCTTTAGTTCCTACAGCAGCGAAGAGCCGTGAAACACTGCAACTTCTCTTCATTCTTGGTCTCTTTCTATGCAAATATCACACGACTGTCTAAATCAGTAGTTCTGCAAAACATAAATAGAAGTTATTGAACTACAATATTCCTGCCTTCTTCTGTCTCCTGGATAGTTCTCTAAGAAGCCAAAAGCCTGGATGGAACTATTTTCTCTCTGGTTTGAAGAGAAGAATACCAAGACATCTTTATGTCCTCAGTCATCACCCCTACAAGTCCACAGCCGGAGGAGCCCTGCCTGTGGATGCCTCTTAACAAGTGATAATGTTCATTTTTAAAGTTTGGTGCCGTGACCTTGATTCGCTCCTCAGTCCCATCCTAAGACAGACTAGGATCTGTGACTGTTCCACGCATCAAGGAAGGAGTGATGAGTTGTTCTGGGCAGGCAAAGGCAGACCGAGCTAAGGGTTCAGCCAGCAAAGAGTTTAGGTCTGTGGTTGACAGGACCCGGTGCCAGAGTGTGGTCGGGGAGACACCTAATGGGCTTTTGGTTAAGTGTTACACTGTGCAGCCTTTCCATAGTGGAAGAACTCAAGAAGAAACTCCTGATCCAAGACAGACAAGCAAGGCTATTTCCCCTTTTCCACGGCTACAAGTTTGGATGTGACTGCCACCTCATCCTGGGTATAGTCTGAGGGGTTCCCTTTGGGGATCCTTCACTCTCAGCTTGCGGGGGTCATGGGTCAGGGCTGTCTGCCTCTGTGAGACTGCCTAACTGTCTACTTGACAACTCCATTAAGTGGAGTGTTTTCAAACCACCTGTGCTGGTTAGTTTTATGTCAACTTGACTTAAGCTAGGGAGGGACCTTAATTGAAAAAAAAAATGCCTTCGTAAGATCTTGTAGGGCATTTTCTTAATTAGTGATTGATTGGGGAGTGCCCAGTCCACTGTGGTTAGTGCTTCCCCTGGACCGGTGCTGGGTTCTATAAGAAAGCAGACTGAGCAAGCCATGAGGAGCAAACCGGTAAGCAGCATCCCTCCATGGCTTCTGCATCGGCTCCCGCCTCCAGGATCCTGCCCTGTTTGCATTCCTGTCCTGAGTTCATTCAGTGATGAACAGTGATGTGGAAGTGTAAGCCAAATAAACCCTTTCCTCCCCAAGCTGCTTTGGTTATGGTGTTTTGCCACAGATGGTAACTTTAAGACATTTCTTCAGGACCATCACTAGGGAACTGCAGAGTTGCGGCCCAGGTAGCCCCAGAACATGTTGGGGAGGGCTTGTGAACTGTCCCCAGATTTGCAGTGCCTCAGAATAGAATTTCTAGAATATCCCACCCTATGCTCTGGATACAGAGAAGGGGAAAAGTGTTTGGGTCTCCCCTATGAACTAACTACCAATTCATGGATTTCCTCAACATCCTTGTAGCCCTGCCTTTGTGTAAGCTGTGAGTTAATCTACACATAGACTAGTAAGCAAATTCTATCTTTTTTTAAAAAGATTTTTATCTATTTATTACATATACAGTGTTCTGCCTGCATGTTTGCCTGCAGGCCAGAAGAGGGCACCAGATCTCATTACAGATGGTTGTGAGCCACCATTTGGTTGCTGGGAATTGAACTCAGGACCTCTGGAAGAACAGCCAGTCCTCTTAACCTCTGAGCCATCTCTCTCAAGCCCTAGCAAATTCTATCTTAATGTTAGCTGCCTTCGCCTAAATTCTGGACAATGGGAACCACCTCTTCACTGGGTTCTGACTCCAATCCTACCTCTCTCTCCAAACCTTCCTCATCCATTCTGCACCACAAGTCTTTCCGGCCTTGAAGGCACCTGAAGCCCAGCCTCTCAGAAGAGCACACAAAACCTTCAATTATGTGGACCTGAAGGCTCTTCTTGCCTCTCTTACTACTCCTGCCCAGGGCTACCAATTCTTCCAACACACATTTAAAAACAAAACAAAACAAGGTCTCCCCCTTCCCTGAGGCTGAGGACTGAACCTTGTGCTTGCTGGGCAAGCACTCTACCACTGAGCTAGATCCCCAACCCCACCACAAGGTCTCATGTAGCTAGCTCAGGCACATCTCAGATTCACTGTGCAGCAGGAGATGATCTTAAACTTCTAATCCTTTGGCCACCATCTCCTAAGTGACAGGACCACAGGTGTATGCAGTACTGGGGATTGAACCTAGGGTTTTGTATACGCTAGGAAAACCCTTTACCAGCAAGGCTATGTCCCCAGCCTCTCTTCCATGCACACTTAGGCTTTTAAAGGACTGAGTCACCAACAGATGCTTGGTACAGCATGCTTCAATCCTTTTCTTATGATATTTTCCATGCCTGAAGTCTGGATTTGCCCATAGTCGAAATATACAGAAAGATGGTATTCGTTAATTGCAAACCATTCAGATTTTATGTAAATTAATTCGTAACAACAGGCTATAGGTAGTACCTCTTTGACCATAATCATCTTGTAAGGATGATATGTTTAAAATTCAGATACTACAAATAAAGAAATTGATGCTTAGAGAAATTAAGGAACTCTCCTTCCATCTCAGGGCTTACCAGAAGGTGATGGAGCCAGGAGGCGAATCCAGCTTGTGTGTACCAGTGCTTGTCCTACAAGGCCTCTTCAAGGCATAGACGCAGAGACTAACTTGCTATCGTGTTACTGAGACAGAAATCACTTACCGAGGTTATGACTGGCAGGCTTACATGGGAAGTTATTGCAATGACACATTCAAGGTCATAATGAGGTGGACACTGGAATCTGTGTCATATTTTACAGGGCTACTTCTGATGTATGTAATTAGCTTTGTACTTCAGAGATGTGCTGGAAACAAAGTTTTTTTTTTTCCCATTTTGCGAATTCTCACTTAAGATACTGCTGTCTCCAATGTGAAGAGAAATAAGATGTAAGGTTCTAAAGCTTCTTAGAAGGCAGAAAAAACATTTCTAGAGCTTTCTTACCGTGAGACCCGCAATCCCAATCCCAACAATTCCAATGAGCTGCAGCTTAACACTGATTACGGTTTCAATTTTGTCGATGCAATTCTGTTTTGAAAAAAAAAAAAAACAGTCAGCAGTGGAAACTGTGCGGCTCACACTCTGACCAATCCTCCTGTTTTCTGCGATGTCTGGAAGTTCATCCACGCCAGCTTCTGCTCATATGTAACCCATCATCCCTCATGGGTAACGGCGACCTGACAACTCTGAAGCAAAAACGTGGTGCGGAGGTAAATGCAACCCTCTCCTTTGGGTGCGATTTTCCTGTTCAGGCCAGAGGTCTGCTTCAGAGCTCTGAAATGCAGCGTCACACGCCTGTTTCTGGGGGACTTCAGGCATTCCAAAACTTGAGGCCTTTTCTTACTCTCAGCAAGGAGAGATGAGGTAGTCTCTAAATAATAACCCTACTGTCATCTGCTGTTTACAGGGCATTTTATACACTTGATCTATGCAAGGCATTCATTATCTTTCAAAAGACTAAAAAGTCTGCATGGAGCCGAATTAAATTTTAGACATTTAGAAAGTCAATACTTAGGTATTGAAAGTCAATACCAGGTCTTGAGAGTTAGAAGATCATTGCTCCAGTGTTAGCTGAGGTTCCTATCCTCGACCTTTCAGAGATCTGTGAAGCCTGAGTTTGAAGAACCTTCATAGCGGGACGGTGTGTGTGGGGAGAGTTGGGCAGGAGCTAAGGCTGAGGGGGGCATCCGTGACCATTATCAGTTTCCACTTGGAGTCTTCCTACATAGAGGCGTGCTCCTGTCCAGATGCATCCTCAGGGTACGTAGATCTTTAGCACCCTCCGATACCCGCATAAGTTACGTGAAACAATAACCACTTTCATGTCTCAGTTTCTGTTTAATGGCTCTGCAGACCCCATCTCAGCCACTATAGTGGCTTGGTGGATGAGGAGCAGTAAGCTCCAGCTTCCTCCCTCTGGAGGCTTGGCAGGGAGGATACAGTCTCCCAGAAGAGCGAGAGTGCACTCTGGTGAAAGCCTGGAGCATTACTGGAGACAGCAGCTTCCTGGCACAGCAGAAAAAACCCTAGTCAACTAGTGTTCCTCTTTTCCTCTGCCTCTGAGACACGCCTTGCCTCTGTGCCATGCACTGTTTAGAGCAGTGAGCACACACAAGGTACAAGTGTTCCTTTGCAAGTTCTCCTCCTTTTCTCGGAGCTAACCAGGTGCCCTTCTCCGCAGAAGGCTAACCCCTTCTCCGGCTCTGGCTCTCACTCCCTCGCATCTCCCAGGGAGCCGCCCAGTCACCCTCCTTCCTTCCCATACGTTCTGCCTCTTTCTCTCCATTAACATCACCTCTGGCCACGTAACCCCATGCTCAATGTTTCCAATCTAAAGCAAGCAAAGCCACCTGTCCCTGGCCATCTCCTCCAGCCCTGCCAGCAGCCTTTCTTTCCATTCAAAGACAGTTTCTTGTGTGAAAAGCAAATTACAAAACATGCGCTGGCGTTCCTTAGCCACAAGGGAATACATAGTCACTGAAATGTGGAAAATAGATATTAATAAAACAAAAATAAGAAACATCTGTCCTCCACTAAGATTATAACGAATACTCTTGATTCTTGGGTATAAAAAGACTCACACACTCTGCTCACTTACATATTAATCAGTGTGTTTTCCACTTAACATGAAGAAAATTCAAAAATACCTTCTTATATTAATTTTTTGAAATTGTGACTCCTACTGGCAATAAAACATATTCTATGAAAAAGATCATAATTTAAACAATATATTACTGTAGGATTTTAAGAGATCTGTATTTGGTTATTAATGTATATTATTTGTAATGAACAAAATTGTGTGTGCGTGTGTGTGTGTGTGTGTGTGTGTGTGTGCCACAGGAATTCTTGATGTTGTCTGCTGATACTGGGTCTCTCAGGGAGTCTGGAGTTCACCAATTAGGATAGGCTAGCAAGCCCTGGGACCATCTGTCTCTGCCTTCCCAGCACTGGGATTTCAGTCAGTTCTACAACACCCAGATTTTTACGAGGTGCGAAGGGTTAAACTCGGGTCCTTGTGCTTGTGTGGCAAGCAGTTTATGAGCTGAGCTATCTCCCCAGCTCCTGCACACATTTAAAATTGTTCCGTTTGTTGAGGATACATCCTGCTAAGTCGAGTTTCTAGGCCAAAGGGCATGAACTCATTTAATATTCTGGGCTATAAGTCTGTACTAATCTCTAAGACTATTGTACCAATTTTTTTTTTAAAAAAATAAAACTTTCATTTCACATCATTCTCGCCCATTTTGTGTTATTAATAGGAGTGGGGGGGGAAACGTGGCCAATTTCACATGTTAAACAATGGTGTCTTGTCACTTAAGGTTGCTGTTAATTTCAAATTGCTTCTGATTGCCTGTGCTTTTTATGTGTGTAACAGTCATTTGCATTTCATCTTTTGTGAACTCCTTTCTCTTGTACTTGGCTCAAACGACATAATTACCGCTCCATGTAGAAGATATAGTTGAACTGTCATTACCCACACTCAGTCTTTACCTGGTCACCTTTTATCTGGTGTCTCCCACAGGCCTTCCCTGAGCTCCCGGGGCACCATGCCAGCTCTGTCCATAGCCCCCGTGCACTGTGTCAACTCCAGTGTTTACATCTTCTATTAGACAGTAGGTTCCTTGTTGGTAGGGACCTTGTCTCGTTCATCTTTGTATCCACAGTGCCTGACAGGCTCTGTGCCAATCTCTTCAGCAGCACTTCCCTTGTGTCTGACTCCTCCCCCTAGTGGCCTTCTTGGCTGCTCCCCTTTGCCCAGCTGTAAGTAGTGTTGTTTAGACTATTGTTCGCATGTTTCTCTTCTCCAAAATCTCATGCATCAAGTCCATCTCTGTAACTCTAAGACTGCGTGTTGTTGATACTCTAACATCTCTCCTAAGCCACACGCCAGATTTTCCAAACCGCAGTGTTGAAAACACTGAGCTAGGGACTGAAGAATGACCCACGGTTAAGAGTAGAAGCCCCGAGCCTGGTTGCCAGCACCCATGTTAGATGGCTCACAAGTGCCTCTATCTATAGTTCTAAGGGAATCTGACTCCTCTGGCTTTCCTGAGTCACCATGTGCATATCCACATCTTTCTTTCTCTTACACGCATAAATAAAACAGATCTTAAAAAAAAAACTTTAAAAGCCTTTTCTCTCTAATTGGCTCTTTCTCCTCTGTTCGTTAATTTAATAAGTGACATCACCTTTTGTACCAGTGGGAAGCCAGAACCCGGGGGTGAATTCTCATCTTCTCTGATCTGTGTGGCCATCAATAATGAAGATGCTACCTTCTCCTCTCTAGTCCTACCATCGCATCCAGCTTGTCACATGTGGGTGACTAGGAGCAGCGAAGTCTTCAACTGGTCACCTCAGCTCCAGGCTATTCGTTATCCACCAACCTTTCTCGTTGCCATCACAGTAAACTCTACAAAATGCAAGTCCAATCTCTTCCATGGCCCCCTAAACCAACATCACAAAGGCTAGACTTTTGGTTTCGTAGGAGCGTGTAAGACCCTCAGCTGTATCTAAGCATTGAAACAGTCCCTCCTGGAGAAGGGAAAGAGGCTCACGAGGGCCATGAAAACCTCACAAGAAATGTACAAGAGTCAGGGAGCTCAGAAAGTTCCAAGATGCTCAGGTCTTTCCCCAATGTTATAAGGACCAAACAATTTCTGGGGGAGAGCAGACTCTTCCATGGTGTAGCTGCCTGCAGGTCACACAGGGTACTCTGGTAATGAAGTATTCAGGAGCTGTCATGCATGCTAGGTGCCAGTTTTACTGCTATAGCTGCCCAGGTCACCTATAAGTAGCTGACCCCTGTAAGTAGTCCCCACCCATGCTCCTCTAAGTAATCCTAGTAAAACCCATTGGTTCAGTGAGCTGGATATGGGGGGATTGTTCCTTGGTCTGTGCTGAATGGACAGAAATAGATTCCCCAGAAGTACTGACAGCTCTTGAAGAATGGGCCCCTTCTAGCTGAAGAATTCTCCTCTCACAGGCATCCTGGCTTTTCTGTTCCCACTCAGAGATGGACTTATCTGCAAACAGCTGTCCCCTCAGACCACCTCATGTCTATTCTGTCCCCTCAGCCTGGAATGTCTCTTCTTTCTTCTGCTCTCTCAGTTCCCATTCACCCTTCGAGATTCATCTCGACAACCACAGCCTTCCTTGGGCGGCTGGTGATTCTGTTCTGTTCCTTTCAGTGTAGCCTTCACTTAGCTCTTGTAAATGTTGACAGATCCCTTATGGTCTCTTCAGCCAGACTTGAGCCAGATGCAAGGTTTTCAGTGGCAATTCATGACACACTGAAACCTGCTTCCCATCTCTCCACCGCCGAGCACCTAAATGCATCGGCACCACTGTCCATAGTCTCGCATTTCTGCCTTAACCAAGCTGTACCGTGTTTTCCACAACTACTTCACCGGAGCTCTGACACGGTCACTCACATCCTTCCGTGCAAAGCCCGGGCTCCTGGTCTCTACAGCACTGGAGTATCTTCCCAGCAGGACCCACTTCCAGCTGCTTTCTTGGCTCGGAAAGACTGCCCTTCCACATAGCCTTCCACAAAAGCTTTCCTGATTCTGTTAGGCCTCCGTGGTTCCCTGGACAGACTCCTTGCTTATCACTACAGCCATGGGCTAGCCTAGGAAGCCACTGAGGGAGGGGCTGTATCTTCTCTCATACTTGTTGAATACCTGACAGAGCAGTTAAATTCATCAGGGCTGTGACTGTCCCAGGAATACATGGGGGGACACAGATCCCTGGCCCTGGTGAAGTAAATTAATATACCTTAATCACATGGCATAGTCACTCATCATCCCCTGGGAGACGGCCTCCTAGAATCCCTCCAAGGAAGGACTTGAGCCCCCCTCCCCCGTGGAGTCTACTCTTCACAGTAGGGGGCTGGTGGGAGGAACCTGGAATGGCCAGCTTACCTTGTGGCCTGGAAGCTCCTTTGGACAGGTGGGCTGGACTTGTTCAGAGCTTTCTTTCCCGCAGCACTGAAACTAAAGAGCGAGAAGAGGCTTTAGGACACAGGGAGTGTTGGCTCCAGGAGGATGCAGAGGAGCTCTGCGGCCCCCACTGCTATTTCTGGAGAGTGAAGGAAGAAGTACAGAATTGTGCTAGCAACCCAGGCACACGACTTTTCCAAAGCAGCATAGGTTTTATGATAGGAAGCGAGGAGGCAGTATCAGGCAAGAAGTTAATTTTTGGTATTCTCCTTAGACTGCTACTTTGGAGACAGGAACGGGGTCTCACACGCCATCCTTCAGACCTGAAGTCTGAAAATCTGCCCAGGAACAAAACTTGAGCTTTGGGAAGAGCTCATTACTAAGGGACTAGGGGAAGAGAGGAGAGGTGGCCACAGGAAAGCCCAGGGCCGGAAGAGCAGGCATGAGTGCTGGTTGGCAAACAGGCAGCTTGCCTCAGGGTTGGCTGTCTAAGACAAAGGAAACTGTGTGCTGCTTGATGTCTCTGGAGAGCCTTTGAAAACACTCTTGCCCAGAAGTTCACAGTTACCTCACCAGAGTGCAGTGCTTAAGAAGACAGAATGACCCTGGTCTGGTCCACTTCCCCCATAAGCCTTTCTTGACTCTATGTAGCTCTAAGCACTGCGCTCTAGCACGTTCCTGTGGAACATTCTAGAAGGGAATATAGTTGTCTCCCCACAAACTTTGTTTTATAAATAAGGAGCGAGTTAAGTGGACATCAGAGAGGCTAACTAACTCATTCAGCACCACAGGGCTGCAGCTGAGCTTTCCTGGCGTGAAGGCCACCATGCTTGTCACGCCACAGTGTCAGACGGAGAGGAACTGACATGTATTTGGGTGGCTTTCTCAGTGTCCTGCGACACCCTGACTTCTTGTGAGTCTGTGGTCGACATCATTCTAGCCAAAGGTCTTACCAAAACACAAACTATAGCTCTCATCAGAGCTAAAATAAGAGGCGGCTGCTTCCACTCATTGGCTTTATTTTTGTTTTTGTTTTTAATTTAGGCGATTAGAGAAAGCCTGGCACATGCGCGATCTGTAGAACATGTGATTTCAAGGAAGAAGTGGAGTTACTCACTGCCGAGTGGAAGGTGATGAGGGTGCCATTGCCCCTTCCCCGGCCTTTAAGGTAATCGCTGTACGCCTCCTCATACATAGTCTGCACGTGTCGTACAGCCTGCAAAGACACCAGCACACAGTGAACGGAAGGGCGCAGACCGTTTCTTTTCACCAAGAGGAATCCCCTCTTCTGCGTCCTCTGGGAACTCTGCTTTCCCACACACTCTTCGGAAGGTGAAGGAGACACTGACCAAGAAGGCCTTCCTAGGTCAGAGCCTCCTCATAGAGCGAGGGTTTCTAAACCCAACGGGCTTCACTGCCGGCTAGGCACCGCCCTGGTGAGCCACTAGAGGTGGAATCTGTGGAAACGTGGTTCCCTGCCAGCTGCCAAGGAAGACGTTATGCATCCAAACAGCCATAGGTTTCGGCTCTATATGGAGATATACTAAAGCCCGCAACCTCTGGATACCAGCCGCCATGTCGGGAGGGTTTCAGAGGGGCGGCAGGCACTCATTTCTGTGTTTATCATCTTTCAGCTTACGCTCAGAAGCATAGTATGGGTGGCATGCGAGTGCACTGGAAATGCAACCCTCTTAAGGCTCCCATCTGCCTGCCTTCCCTTCCACGCTTCTCTGTCACAGCCTGCTCATCCTTCTAAAGGTCACGTGCCGATGGGCTCCCCTCATAACCCGTCCTGGGCACTAAGGATTGCACTTGTACACAGCAGGTCAGGCGTTAGCATCTCACAAGAGGGTGGCCCCTGTCTAGGCCAAAGCCTTTGGGACAGGTGACAGAGGAATGAGAAAGTAGGTTCCTTCTCCCCGCCCCATTCTTGCCTGTCTTATTTTGAACTAGGGACAGACAGTCTTAAACTAGAAATCCAGTTCACAAACAAACAGACAAAAGCCCAAATCAAGCAAACATAGACCAGTTTCAAACCATGTATACACATGCTGAGCCCTGCACACTACTAGGCTAAAAGGTTCTGCTTACACAATTTTGTGGGCTATTTTGTTTCTTAATACACCTTGGGGGGGGGGGAGCAGTCTATATTGTTTACTACAAGAAGAATGCTTTACCAACCGCCCAAACATCTAGGTCTTACTTACTACGTCTTTGCCTATAAAAGCAAACACTCCAGTGGTTACTTCGGCAGCAAATATCACCAGCAGACAGGTGAAAAACTGTTGAGAGAAAACACTGATTTCACTCATTTAATACCTTTCAACCTACTTAGCCTGCTTGCATCTCCTTCTGCTGTCAAGGCTTTGGGTAAGGCTATGAGTTTGGTGGTAGGGACTCTTCTAGGCACTTTGCCGCCTCCGTGCAGCTGGCAAGGCCCTTTTGTATGGCTTGATTGTTATTCTATTCAACAACTGGCCACTTAGCACGTGTCCTGTGCCAGGCACTGTCCTTTGTGCCCGTTATCCAGCGGCAGAAGAGATCCGAACCCCTCTGATGTCATAAAGCTTATATTGGGCAGAAGAGATACAGTCAATGAGGGAAGGTTTTATATGCATTATAAAATGCATAAAGGAATATTAGACAGCCACATAGAAACCCTGTCACCAAGCACAGGATCTGGCAGTGGTACCCTCTGTAAATACTTGATGACCAAGTTCTACAGAGAGGAAATCTGGTTGGACACAGAAAGTTTCCACTGAGGCTTGGGCTTGGGGCAGAGTGTGATGGTCTGGAAGGGCTTCTCTGAGGAGAGGGAGAGAGACGCGTGTGCAGGGTCTGTGTGTGTGTGTGTGTGTGTGTGTGTATGTGTGGGTCCTCCTTATGGATAGCGTTCTGCCACGTCTTAAGTTTGCTGATTAAACTCAGCTCTGTGATGAACACAGCAGAGCTTTCCAGCTTTATTTGTAGAAACAAAGAATGGCAGGGAGAAGAAACAGACATTTCACACAGCCATAGATCTGAAGCAGCAGGCAGACATGGAAAACCCAAAGACTGCAATGGGAATGGGAAATGAGGGGGCCTCAGAACACCCTGCTTCAGGCTCCCTGCGAGAAATACAAAGCCTTCCCTCTGTTCCTCGCTTCTTTAGGCTTCAGAGTATGGGCTGATAGCAGGTAACAGGGTAACAGGGAACGGAAACTATTTTTGTTGTTGTTGTTTTAACAGAATCTGCTGGTTAAAAATAAGGTAACAGGGGCTGGAGATATGGCTCGGTGGTTAAGAGCACTGGCTGCTCTTCCAGAGGTCCTGAGTTCAATTCCCAGCAACCACATGGTGGCTCACAACTATCTGTAATGATATCTGGTGCCCTCTTCTGGTATGTGGGCATACATGGAGGTATAATGATGTATACATAATAAATAAATCTTAAAAAAAAAAAAAGAAACCCTGTCTTGAAAAGCCAAAAAAAAAAAAAAAGAAAAGAAAAAAAAAATAAGGTAACAGAGGGATGTTTTTGTTAAGTTGTAAGTTGTTGATCTTAAGCCAAAATGCTTTCCTTGTAATTAACAGTTTTCTTCCTGGCTATGGTAATCTTTAAGCTGCCGCATACACAGTGAAATATTATTTTTAAAGAACAATCAATTCATAAGCGCTCTTCCCCCCAAATCTTCACACTGATGAGCTCATTGTTTTCACATTTTCCATATGAGGCAGGAACAGAGATAATACCATTCTCATGCAGGAGACGGGGAAAACAGACATCAGAGGGAGGGTCCAGTGCCAAAGCTTTAAGCCCTAGAGGAACCAGAGCTTCAAACCAGGTCCCCTGACTCCCTCCAGGGAAGTTGACCGACCCACCCCGTGCCCACCTCATAAACCCCACTTACTGATCCAAGCACACACTGTGACTCACGCATGGCTCCACAGCACCCGAAGAACCCCACAGCCATCATCAGGGCCCCAGCTCCAACCAACACGTAGAGCCCTGTGGACGAGAAGCCAAGGGGACCGGTCAGTGCCTGAGGAAGGTGAGGCCAGTTGAGCACAGCGCAGGAGATGACAGCCCTGCCTCCCACACCCCAGGCTCTGGCTTTCCTCTCCCCACAGAGTCCTGCTGTCAACTGTAATGGTGACGCTTGCTAACCGGCTCATGCGTATGGGCTCACTCAGCAAAGCCATCCTATCTCACCGCCAGCTTAGCGAACACATCAGGAAACTGGACCTGAAGGAAGCCAGGGAGGGGAAGAAGCCACCTCTACCACTGCTTAGAGCTGTTTCAGTGAATGGCCACCACATGCCTAGAGGCCAAACACGGCTTCTCAGGTCCTGCACCTCCATTCAGAGGTGCACGGCCATCCCGGTAAGGCCAAAGATGCTGAGTCTGGGAGTAATTTGAAAAGCTGCTGCCACAGCTGGGACATAAACCGAAGCCCTCTCTTGGGTCCTTAGAAGCCCTTCTTCTCTGGGCTTAATGGCTGTCTCCATCTTTGAGAGACTTGAGGCCAAGGATTTGGAAAGGAACAGCAGCTGCTGAGTAACAGGGGAGGAGAAGAAATGGAGCAGGGATCTGGGTAGGGACAGAAGCACAGGGCGTAGTCCTAACTCATCAGTGTTGTGTGATTTTTTTCCTCCTTCAGAGGGCAATGTCGCAGATACTGGACACATGGGAGGTCATGTGATGAGACACAACACAACAAAATAAAGCTAATGAGGGCGGGTAATAAGGTAATGGATGCTTACATTATTATTAGCTCCATGTTCTAAATGAGAGCCAGTTGTCACCTGATAATTTTAATAGAACCGCTATGTTTGTGATAGAGCCTTCCAGATTGTCCCAAGGTCACAAGGTGCGGTTCTCCCCAAGAGGCCACCCTGCCTCCCGAGCAACAGCAGTGGCCTTACTCTGAGTGGTCAGAATTGCACCTCCTAAGTCAAGCCCCAGGAGGGTTTCCACCCAGAGCAAAAGGACCACAAGGTGCTGGTTCTGGGAGACTTGGGCCAGGCCTTCCTGACTTCCTTCTCTGATCCCGAGATAACGGAGAACACAATGCTAGGTTTGGCACTTGACTTGCTCTGAGTAAGGCTAATTGACTGTGTTTTTTTCTTTTTGTGTTTCAGTCAGATGAGTCACCTGGAAACCATTCTTATTCATCCGGAGGTGGAGGGGGGGCACTGGGGACCCACCCCTGTGGGGAACCCCTGAGTCTGGCATGTAGGCATTTCCTGGGGCTCCTCTGGGTTGCTCATTGCCGGTTTGTGGGCAGGCCTGTCTGTTAGCAGACCTAGATGGGGTGACAGGGTAGCTGTACTGCTTCCTGAACCACCTAGACCGAGACTAAGAGGTCCTCAAGGTGCTTCTGGGTTCCGGAGGGGAGAAGGCTTGGCGCTGCAGTCTGGAGGGACCCACACACTTCCTGCTGTTCCAGCGCTATCACGTCCTCCAGTTTCCTTTTCTCTAAGAGGATCATTTCACGGGTGTGTGTGCATGGGTTACAAGAGAACTGATACCCTTTTAAAAACAACAGTATTGTTGGCTCCACGGACTGAACACCTTATCGTCTTGAGGGCTCCACATTTCAAAGCTCCTTCATTGCCATCGTCTCCTAGGTCGCTTGCTTGAAGCAGCCCTGTGAGGTAAGAGAACATCCCTGCCATCGCGAGAGGTCAGAGGCAGGGGCCTGACTCCCACTTTACACTCCTCATGGCAAGAGGCTAAACAAGCAGCAGCAACGGCAGTGGCCGTAGCAAAGACATCCTACTAGTCCTTCCCATAATGCCTCCAGGGAGAGACATCTCAACACACCGATTTCTTTCTTAGAATGCCACTGCCTCCCGTCACTGCTCCTACAACTGCTGTTAGGAGTTCCTTAGCGTGAAGCTAAGGCGAGGATCCAGCTCCCTGAATCCTCATCTACCCTATGTTCCAGTCAGCTAGGAAGCATCACTGTGTGAAACGGCCCTGTTCCGGCGTGGGCTGGACCTTGGCAGGTTCCCACAGTTCTCTGCAGATTTCAGGTCTAAAACTCTTCTTCTACCCTGCTTATAAGGGCACAAGTGAGAAAGCTCAGTCGGTTTACATTTCTCCCATGGACAGAGTGCGATACACTCAAAGTTCCCGACTGGCTACCTCCTCCCAGCAAGCATCTCTACTGAGACACACATTCTGAGATCCTATTGCAACTAACACGTATGGGGTCACCAAAGGGCTGAGTTCTCCAGTGTCAGCCAAGTGAGATGGGGGCCTCATATGCTGAGACGGTCTGAAACAGAAAAGCTATGTCACTGAAGAAGCAGGTGCCCAGTGTATAGGGGCCCAGTGGGCACAGTTCACTTGGTCTCTCTGGCAACCGTCCTTGCCCTTCTGAAACAGTAAGTTGGCGTCCCAGGAGATGTGCTCCCTCCAGCAGTGTCCTGTGTCCCACTACGGATAGAGCAACCTCAGGAGCTTCTCCACAGCAAGCCTCTGCTTGCATGAAAAGATGCAGCTGTCCTCCTGTTTCCAGATGAACCTCTCTGTGGAACTGGAGAGAATCACAGGCAATTCCCACATGCAACAGATTCCTGCCAGACCTGGCTGTCAGGCTGACACACCTAAGGCCTCCTGTGTTTCCCAAGGACACCCTACCTAAGCTATGGCTTTAAAAGGAGCTGTTGAAGCATCAATTAGCTCATAGAGACATTCTACTTCCAAGATGGCGTCCGTAGAGTCCTTTCTCCCCAGCAGCACGCAGACCGACATGGGACCCACTTAATAAATCTCTTATGTTTTCTAAGCTCTACTTTCCTTGATTTGCAAAAAGAGAACCCTTTGAAATTGCATTATGATCATTAATGGCTGGGCTTTTGCACCAGTGAAATGCTACCGGGAAACAGCTCTCCTGGGGACGTCTTCCCTGATGATCCACGCTTCCTCCTTGGAGTTCACACCCTTCTAGAATGTGTATAGTGTCGTTTCAGTCATCCAAGGTTCAAGAGGGCCTGGTAAAGGCCCATTTGTACAAACTCACTTAAAAGTTCTTGTTGGGAAAGGATATATTGGCACGCTCACCAAATCAGTGATCTTGGCAGCAGATGGTCTAATGCAACCTGCTAATCGTCATTTTTTCATCTAGAATTTTTTTGTGTCTCTGCAGACATCTCCTTCTTGGCTTCCACTGAATACACACAATTACAGCCATTACTCAGTCTCCATGGCGATTAGTTCCAGGATCCCTCCCGTACCAACCAGTGCATGTACGAACCCCTCATAAAATGGCATCATATTTGCATATAGCCCCACTTACATACCCCTGTATACTTCATCTCATGGTTACTTATAATGTCTAGCACACAAATGATCTGTAGTTATCAGGCTGTATTATTATTAATAATAATAATTGCAGTGGCATGAAAATGTCTGTACATGTTCAGAAGAGATGAACTAAAAATAATCTTTGATCTGGGGTTGCTTGAATTTGTAGATGCTGAGCCAATGGATGGGAGTGCCCTAATTCTAAGGGTTGGCTGTATCTACGTGCTTAGAGTTATATGGGAGTCTGAGTTCACGGGAAAGGAAAAGACTGCTTGGTGCTTTCTCAATAGCAGCAGCAGCAGCAGCAGCAGCTACAGTTAGGAGCTGTATGCGTCTCACTCCACACCTCTGGTGGGAAGGACCTCTTCCTGGTGCCCCAGCCCTCGCTGAGTGGTACATATACTCTATACTCGACACATATACCACCTCAAGAATCTGCTTGATGACAAAGCCCACGTTGTAAACTTGTCCTTAAGCCCACCCCAATGGCGCCTCTGTCTCCTCACGCTGTCTTTCCTCATCAGGTGGCCTTTGGTCCTCAGCCCCTGTAGTACGCGAACAGTAAGCGTTAGCATGTGCTGACAACTCACCCCTAGTGAGGTCGGCACTGCACTTACACAGGTTCACCACTCACAGCTACGGAAGCAGAAGTGCAGCAAGTGAAAGCTGCACGACTCTAGGGGGTTAACTGGAATCGAGCCAGAGTGTGTACCCCAAACCCCCATGCTACATTTTCAGTAGAGACTCAGAGCAGTGGGTTTCTTAGCTAGAAATCTGCCCATGTATTAACAGTAGGGGAATTCTTGAGAAAGGTTCCTGAGGTGTCTTCCTGGGTGTTGTCCCCCAAAAGAACAGGCTAGGGTCTAGAACTCTGGGCCACCAAACTGGTAGTAGGTAAGTCTTCTCCTTTGGAGTTGTGCTCTTCAGGGCTGGGATGATTATCTATTTTGGTGTCTTGTAGAATGGCTTTGGGAGTCACTGTCCAGACATGGTAGTTAGTCTCTCTCTGTTATCCAGCTAGCATGGTGTCAGGTATGAAGTTAAAAAATATTACCAGAATGAGTCAGAGTGTTTTTAAAGGCAAGCCAGCCCCTGGACGTTTAGCGGCAGAACACTTTCCTTCCACATAACCTCCGGCCACAGCAAAAGCCAGGCTCTGGGGCTCGGAATTCAGCAGGGAGAGACAGATGCAGTGAGGCTGTGGCTCCTGTTTATGTGGGCACCCCCAGTGGAGAAACCTGCTCACATCCTCTGCTCACAGACATGAGCTCATGTGCTCCAGCCCAGGCTCCAGCTTCCTGAGGCACAGAGGACCACTCCCCACTCTGTGCTCCGAGAAGAAAGACCCTTAGGCATCTGCCCAGCCAGCACACTGGGGCACACTGGCACAGGAAATCAGATGGGCAGGTTGTTGGATGGGGAGGATGCAGGGGCTTTTCCCAAGAGTTCCGTGGAAGAAACGAGAGTGGAGAAGGTCTAGGAAACCCCAAATAACCTAAGCCCCTCGCTGCCAGATCCACCCTTGCCAGCCTCTTCCTTCCTCACCTAAGCAACCAAGGAACACAGAGACCCTGGGTCAGCCTCCAGGCCTTGGCCTGGGCCCAGAGGGACACTAAAGGGTGGCAGCAGGCAGCACTTGGTCTGATTACCCTCTCTCCCTGGCCTCATTTTCCGCAACCATCTCTTCCTGCTTTGGCTACTGCCTGCTTCTCTGTCCAGCTTGAACATTTGGTTCAGAGTACTAGGATGGAGAGAAACTCCATTGCATGGAGAAAGGCTAGGATGCTAGAAGTGAGACCATCCCTGCAGACATGGGCGATCCTACAAAGCCTGCCTGCCTTCTACCCACAAGCAGGGAGCTATGCACTGTGTCTTCATGGAGGTTTCCTCACTCTAGGCTGAGTGATTCCTCTTCTCCTTCCCGTCTCTGTGATCCTCCTCATCTTGCCAAGAAACTGGGACTATAGGTAGGTACCACTGCACCTGGCTGTGGCTTTAAATCTTGAAGAATCAGCCACTTAGACACGCTAAGCCTGTTTAGAACAGCGTTTAACAAAATGGGCAGTGTGTATGAGCTGATAACTCTGAAACATAGTCTAAAGAAAAATACACACAGCATTTAGGCATACTGGCCCAGTCCTGTAATCCTGCAATCCCAGCACATCGGAGGTAGAGGCAGGAGGATCAGGAGTTCAAAGTCATTGTCAGCTAGAGAGTACATTCCAGGCCAGCCTGGTCTACATGAGATCCTGCTTCAAAGAGCCCTCAAAGTCAAACCATTGAAGCACCAGCTCCCCTCCCCCAGATCAGATGAGTGAGGATGTGCCCCCAGTCCAGCAGAAAGAAGGGTGGTCCTGTGGGGCTGGAGATGGACAAGTGACCCAGGAGCAGCTCCATGTGTGATGCTTCAGGTATGAGGTGTGAGTCAAGGTCCACAGATACAGCTTTGGGTTCAACCTACAAACATCTTGTAGTGATCTATTAACTCCAAAACGTTGACCACACGAAGGCAGGCAAAAGTGGGCTCTGTTTTATGTTGTCATTTAACCATTGTGACAAAAATCAGGGTTGGGTACTTACCAATCCGTGAGCTTCCTGTGCTGAGCAGGAGGATGAGACACTCTACTCAAACATCCCTGCCATGTTTTTGGAACTAAGTCAAGAGGCACACACATGGCCTGAGACATGAGAGCTGTGTTTTCATGTCATATTTGTGTGGCCGGGTATGTCTGGAATCTTTCTAGGATGACGAACTACGGAAACCTGCTCCAGTGGACTTGAATATAATGGATATTTAGTGGGTCACATAACTAAAGTCCAGGCTAGTGAACTCATCTCAGGGCCTCAAATGATATGGCCAGAATCCAGCCTATGGCCGTCTGGCCTCAACTTTCTTTCTTTTTGAGTTGCTTGCATATTAAAACCCCACATCACAAAGTAAGATGCTGACTCCTCAGGGTCCCCTGGACACCCTGAACAGACCAGGGGGCTTTCTCCAGAGACAAAGGACGCTTCCTAACTCCTTCAGATGAATCTTAGTTGCATTTCCTTGTGGCTTCGTTAAGTAAACAAATCAGTTTTATTGGGGCCTTCTCTCCTGGAGAGAGGAGGAAGAGGCCACAGAGGCACATCCCCCAGGACCCAGTGAAGTGTGGCAGTAGAGAGGCTCAGGGCCCTGTCCCACAGACCCGAACTTCAGGGACACTGAAGTCACTCACCTACATAGAAATACTCGGGGGATGTGTCCTCCGACGACAGTTCCTTTATGGCTCCTCCGAACCGGAACCATAGTCCAAATGCAATGACCGCCGATCCGGCCAGCTGCAAGAGAAGCAACAGTGTGTTTATTGTGGATGGGAGGGTGCACACGGAGGCTGGGGAGCAGGCCGCGGGCACAGGGTGCCCAGGCTTGGAGGAGGCTTGAAGGGGTTGTCCCTGTGGAGAGCATCGTGCCCGCTCTTCATGTCTTACTAGGCTTAGAGGTGAAAACATGGGCTCGGTGCCCCCCTCTCCACAGCCCTGAAGTAACTGACTGCCTCTGCCCTGTCTTGATTCCAGTCACAGGGTCTGCTGTGCCATCGGGCTTTCCTGTGGTTATTTGGCACCCACGGGATGGCAGTGTGTGTCAAAACCACTGCTCCAACAACATTCTCCGCGCCAGGCATCTGTCCCTTGCACTGTTGTTGCTTGTGCTGGCCGTCCTCACCAACACCTTAGTGAATGGCCACTGTCTCCGGGAGGGGTCACCGAGAACAAGATGAACTCTAAGACCTGAGGGAAGCCACCTTCTAAATTAGAAAAAGCAAAAACACACAACCAAAAAAAAAAAAAAAAAAAAAAAAAAAAAAAAA